CTATTTCCCATTTAAGGATAACGAGGAAATTATAAGTCCAAGTAAGGCTAAAAATAGCTCTATATTTATATTTGACGACGTGTCGTGTGACGGTCAGCAGAAAATTCGAGAGTATTACTCCATGTGTCGTCATAAAGATATCGATGCTGCATATCTCTGCCAACCATACTCTAAAATTCCAAAACAGCTCATACGAGACAACTGTAACATTATAGTACTATTTAAGCAGGATGGAATTAATCTAAAACATATATTTGATGAGCATGTATCTCCAGATGTTACTTTTGATGAATTCAAAAAGATGTGTTCGGAATGTTGGGCAGAAAAGTACGGTACGTTAGTTATTGTTAAAGACTTTCCTCTTAATTATGGTCGATACAGAGTAGGATTTGATAAGTACATAAAATTGTAGGCTTATCATGTACGCCATCATTCAGTAACATGATGTCAAAGGACCAAGTTGCCGTTGCTAGTCATAAAAGAAAGATCGCAGAACTTGCTCGAGCTATACGTAAAAAGTATCTTACTTTAAAGTTAGGTCGAACTGCAGAAGATGAATCTATTAGAAAACTTTTCAAACCAATATCTGAACCTCTTAAGCAAATAGCTAAGACTCAGCAGCATCCTTCATTTATTATTAAAAAAGAGGAAAAATTGAAACAGGATGATGATGATGATGATGATGTATTCACACAGAACCCAAACTATCTCAATTTAGAAGACGTGGCTTCAACTGATGAACAAGGTAATATACCGCCGAGACCTGAAACACCACCACTACCTGAAGAAATGCGTCCTGCTGATTTTTCACAAGAAGCAATAGAAGAATACTTAGATCAATATCCCCCAATAAGCCATAATTATTTACAAGATTTTTGGACACAAAACGATAAAATTGATAAAAATTATGGACCTATATATACCGACAACATTGGTTGGATGTTAGGTAAACGCCGAATTAAATTTGATAGAGCGACTGGCCAAATACAGATATTACCTGAGGGGACAAACTTAGCAGGTACATGGTTTCGTGGCACACCTGGGCTGTATCAACTTTTATTCTATAATGACCCAAACTATGCAGATGCAGATTTACAACCCTATAAAAATCTATTGCAAAGTACCGGTGTTCATTTAGATTCGCTTGGACGCCTAAAAGGTTCGACAGGATTTAAATATAATCACATTATTAAGCCTCTCTTTAAAGATGTGCAGAAAAATAAAGGTACAATTGTCACACGATCAACATCTACAAAAATACGTAGTCCACTTAGTCGATCATTAACAAGATCCACTCCCTCAACAACAACAACAACAACAACAACAACATCATCAACATCAAAACCGCCAACAGGAAAAGGTATCGGTGATTACTTGACATACAACGAGGAACCAATCGAATACGTGTACTGGGATGATCCCAATGAATTAATCGATCGACTTAAACTCCTTATGGCATCTCAGGAAGCTGGCAATACGTCGCATGATAATGAAATAGTAGCCATCCTCAACGAGCTAAAAGAAGCTAATATAATACAGTAATCTAGTTCCTTGGTCTTTCATTTACACGATGAGTCTTGATAAATTCGGACGTCGCTTTGATAAACAAAAGACACTTCCGTATATGCGTACACCGCCAAAGTTAACACTACCCCATACTTCTGATGGAAATGTTGACTTCAAGAACGTAAAGTTGTGTAATATAAAAGATCCCACAGATAATTCAGATGCGGCAACTAAAAAATACGTAGATACTTCAGTGATTGATTTAAAAAAATAACAGCAAAAACAGATCAAATAACAGAGTTTATTTCGAGAAATCCGCCTACTTCTGGTAAACATATGGCAACAAAAAAATATGTAGATGACTCTATTGCAAATATAACAACAAGAATAGAACAGGAGTTGGCTACAATTAAGTCTCATACCGATTTGACTCCAATACGGAAAAATATCATTGAATGAATTACAACTTTTGCAAGGACGCACATCATATATATCATTGAAAACATTCGATCTTGCTAAGCGTATAAAGCCGATGGAACAACAATTTAAAGCGTTAAAACATGATGACGTACGCCAAGGAGAAGCTACAACTAGTTAACGAGCTGCACAAGCCTGCTCGAAAAAATTATCTAAGACGACGTACCATCATTAAAGGCTTAGACGATTTATGGCAGACGGACTTGGCTGAAATGCGACCTTATGCTCATCAAAATAAAAATTTCAAATTAATTCTCGTCGTAATCGATTCTTTTTCCAAGTTTATGTGGACTAGACCGTTAAAGACAAAGACGGGTGAGGAGATAACTCGTGCGTTTTCGGATATCCTCGCACATACGGAACGTACGCCGAAAAATCTACAATCTGATCAAGGTAAAGAATTTTACAATAGTAAATTTCAAACTTTAATGAAGAAGCATGATATTAATCATTATAGTACATATAGCATCAAGAAAGCGGCCATTGCTGAAAGAGCCATAAGGACGTTGAAAAATAAACTTTACAAATACTTTAGCTTAATGGGATCGTATAAATGGATTGATATATTACAAAGCATTACCAATGAATACAATGGAACACGTCATCAAACCATCGGATGTAAACCATCACAAATTAATAAATCCAACGAAAAATGTATCTTAAATCGAAAATATACTCATTTAAAAATCGCGGGCCCGCGTAAGTTTAAAGTTGGTGACATTGTACGCATCAGCAAAACCAAAATGCTATTCGACAAGGGATACGTTCCAAGCTGGACAACGGAATTATTTAAAGTTACTAAAATTAATATTACCAACCCTGCAACGTACATGCTCGAAGATATGCAAGGTGCACCGATCAAAGGAGCCTTTTATGACGAAGAATTACAGAAAACAGCCAATCCAGATGTTTATTTAGTTGAAAAAGTTTTACGTCGTAAAGGTAAAAAAATGTACGTCAAATGGCTTGGCCTTGATGCAAAACATAATAGTTTGGATTGACAATGATGCGATCGTCTAGGTGTATGGGGTGGGGGGGTTTCTGCTAAAAGTGAGTTCTCAGTCGGTTGCAGTCAGTCAGTCAGTCAGTCAGGCAGCTAGTAAAAAAAAAAAATGGATACCAGTGGTAGTGGTTCAAGTTGCAGCGAGTTTGACCTCACCACCAGCAGCTCACACGAATCATCTGTAAACTACGACCGTGAGCTGGATGCTATTCTGGAAAGGTACGAAGAAGCGGCCAAGAACGAGGACCATTATCTGCTGTACACGCAGTTTCCAAATGGATCATACCAAATTGGATGCGGTCTAAGCCCAGCGAGATCATTTACTCCTGCTGTAATTGTGTGGAACTCATCACGGTTGAAACTATCTTTCAGTTCCTATGAGTGGGAACAATTAATCACCCAGCTCAATGTGGTAACGGTGAAGGAGACGGAGGAGCAGGAGGAGGAGAAGAACCTTCCTGACAAGTATGATCCTGTCGAAATCGAGTGCGGTGACTATGCAGAATTCGACGACTAATCTATGATAGTACGAAAATTCTCGAAATAACCAAGCACAACATTAGTTTCTACCTCTCAGAAATGGACGTGAACGCTCTTTTAGAAGCAAATAATGAACTTTTAGTACCGTATATGTCTATGCTAGAAACTGTTGAATTTCCAAGCTATTATATAATGCGCTTAAGATTGTTCGAGCTAGTTTTAATGATCAAAATTATACGTTTTCAGATGCTATTCAAAAATTGTATACATTTAAGCTCGTAGGCTGTACTTTACAACATATAGCGTTAGGACAACATATATTTTTCTATAGACATAGGATCGCTAATGATCTTGACGATTTTAATAAAGTTTTTGTAAAAATGCATATCTGTCGTTTCATTATGA